TTCCCCCCCCCCCCCCACTTGGCGATGTAGGTTGATCACGTATCTTGAACTCGCCCCCTCCTTTGCGATCCCGGTTCATCGCATATCCTAAGCCTGCCCCTTTATTCGGCGATCCAGTTTGGTCACGCCTTTTAAACGCGCCCCATCCTTTGGCGATCTAGACTCATCACATATCTTAAACGCGGCCCCCTCATTGCGCATGAACAACTTCCAAGATAGGTGCCGGTGAGGCAGTCTCGGGAATCCTGCCAAGAGTCCATCGTGTCTGTCCCCACTTGTACGCACGAAGTTCCATCCGTCTTCGTGTCCCAGTGCAGAGCAATGCCAGTGTGAAGTGGCGCACCGCTCTTTTGCATGATGATGCAGGTAACAACCTGAAGCGAAAGCCGTTACAGCTTTTGGGCAATCGTGGTAGAAAGCTTCCTTCTGCTGCCACGGAACGTACTTGAAAGGCTTGTTCAGCTTTGCAAGCTCCTGTGAACACGAACTCACAACAAGGGTTTGCAAGTCTCTGTAATAGGATTTGCAGTTGCACGTTTCCTTCAAACACTCGTCAATGATCTGGTTTGTCCACGGAGTAACCCGTTCCTTGCTGTACTGCGACCTGCCGTTCAAGCTAAGTTCAATGAAGGGACACAAAACAACGTCTTTGGGATCAACAGCTCTTTTTGACACCCGGCCCTCCAAGGGTCTTGGTGATGGCGTTCTTGACGACGTCGTTGACCTGTTCCACGACGAACTCGTTCTCGCCCTCGTCGTCCATGGCTGGGACCGGCCAGGAGCAAGTGAGGCGTCACTTAGTTTGGCTGCGCTGTCTTTTTTCAATACAACCTGGCCATTGGGCTTTGTAAGTGCAAGCTGGGTAGGGTCTGGATAAGTCACGAAGGGCTCTGCTCTCAGCCAAGGCGACGGCCCAAGTCAAAGTGAGAAGGCAGCTGCGAAATGCTGCGAAGCAGAAGCGGTATCTAGAGAGCCAATGCGCCCCCCGCCACCGCCACGGAGCCTCGCCGCGCTGGCGCAGGGCCGCCAGGGAGAGCATCTCGGCCTCGGAACGGAACCCGAGGCCGCCCGAAACTCGCAAGCCGCTGCTCAAGAGATCTCTCAAGAGCAACGCTACCTGCCACGGAACAAGCCGCAGCCTCCTCTGCGGCCATCCAAGGGTGATCATGCTGCACTTAGCGAGTTGCCGCTCTGCAAGAACCTTTGAAGGTCCCTACTATAGAACAATCCTATCACCAAGGCTTAGTTTAGACGCCGTGCCTTTTCTTGGCTTCTGAGGTCGCTCCCAGCTCGTCGCTCTTGGACTGAACCGTCTTTGGGGGGCCATCTCCGCCCGTTGCGAGGCGCCTCGGGCGCTGCACGCTCGCTGCGTGCTCGGAGCTGCGGTCTCCGCGTCTGCACGCAGAGAAACGCCGGGAGACTGCAACATTTTCAGCGGTGGCAGCGGTGGCAGGGCAGCTGACGGCCTGAAGGCGCATGAGGCTGACCTGCACCGAAAACATCTGCAGTCCTCGCAGTGCTGGTACCAGACAAGGTAGCGTGGCATGGCTTGAGCGCCATTGTATATCACGTACTCCCTGTGATCCAGAATGCCTCCATGCTCGGTGTCTTCCCCGACCACAGAATCGAATGCAGGGCGCTCGTCGTCGCCTTCGCTGCAACTTGGATGGAACCGCGGCATTGCACGGAAAGCTTTCAATGCCTTCCCAAGGCAAACCTGCGCAACAACGACGCATTTCATACCATCAGCAGCTGAGTCTACATACGTGTCCGCCTTTGCAGCAATGTCGGCAAAGTATGTACCACATCCAAAGAATTGACCGGAGCGCTCTCCAGATCGGGAAGGGTCAAAGCCCTCACTGAGAATTCCATCAATACTCCCTCTTCTGCAACCGTGATAGAGCAGGAGCTCATGCAGACCAATATCTAAATCATAAGACAAGTCTGGCCGCAGTGCACAGCAGTCCTGCAATTCGGATTGAAAGGCGCCTCGATGTTCGAACATTTTCATTCGTTGGTCACGATATTTCGTCTCAGCGTCTGAAATCAACACCCGCTCTATGCGAACAACACGCAGTGCCTTTTGCACCGCACGCTCGCCGCTGCCGAAGCGATCTCGGGATGGAACAGCGCCTGTCTTTACCACGTGTTCGCTCAGCCGGCGGAACTCGCTGCTGCTTTCTGCAAGCGTCCTCAGCATACCTCCATGGCATGCACCCGCTTCTAAGTTGCCAGTTACATATCCCAGCCCGAAACTGTTGCATGCGGATGCCGGTAAAGCTCTTTTCAGACTCTTTTGTACAGACGTTGCATGAGAGCGACAGTACATCTGTGCCAAGCTTTTCATGCAAGGCCGTGCGATAGAGTCACAGCTTCTGCTTTTTCGTTGGCGCTTGGGAAGCTGCATCCCGATCGACTCTTCAACCTGTCACTCTTGCCATGCACGCCGCCTGAGTTTCAGGCTGCGTGTCGGCCAGCAGCTGCCACTTGGACATCCCACGCCTTCGGCTACAGCGGCGACATCGACACGGATCTGCGCCACATGCTAAGCAACCTGGCCTTTGCATGGTGCTCGAGGACACTTTTCAAGAAGTTGTGCATCATCTAACAGGGCAGCCGTTGTCGAAACCGCTTGAGGACGCTTCGCCACCAGCCTGCAGGTCGAACTTCAGGTTGGGGTCCTCAAAAGCTCGTCGCATCAGCGCCTGGTGGTGATCGTCTTTCGACCCAGAGGCAAACCGCTGGAGGAAGGCGCAGAAGAATGCGGAGACGGTGAAAAGCTCTTGTGATGATTCAGACATATTCAGACCATCTCAGTTCTGCCTGGAGGAGACTGGCGATCAGCATGGATCAATTCAATTTCGGTTCTTTTTCTTGCCGTGGGTCACACCTCTACGCCGTCCAAGACCTGCACGGGAACATGTTTATCATGGACAGTGCGTGAGTTCAAGGACAGCGCACGTGGATTCAAGACCTGCAGGCAAGGAAAGTCGATCCTTGCCCATGAGTTTGGGAGTAGCAGTCCGCCAGCAATGCGTGCCTCAGGGCAGACTACCTCCTTAGCTACAACTACGATCTCTTGGCAACTGTTCTATATATTATCATGCAAGCCACATTTGCCATCGCAGTGAACAGCCTCACCCCATTCATCTTTTATGCCTGAGGTGTCAGAGGCTTAGGTTTTCGCTTGGATTCGAGTTTGATTGCATGCTACCTTGCGTTCGCGACATGTGACTCGATCTGAGAGCTGCAGATTGCATGCAGGCACTTCTTCACGAAAGCTGCGATTGGGCTTCTGGCGTTCTGCAGGATCTGTAAGAAGACAGTTGTGGGTCCTCTGGTTCAAGTCTCGTGAAGTGCGTGCATGCGTTTCTGGACATCCGCTTGTATTTTGGCCAAGGAGCAGGTCCAGTACCTGCCAGGTTTGAGAACACCGGAACCGATAGAGACCCGGCCCCGAGAGCTCGCCTGCGGCTCCCTGAGCAACAACTCTTTGAAGGCGTCCGGCGATCGCCACTGCTCCGGTGCCACCTCGAGCGCGGCACTGCGCGGTATGCCGAAGTCTGATCAAGGTGCTGTCGAAGAGGGGTCTTTGCCGCTCTTTCGCAAGTCCAAACGTGCACTTCGCGACCGCCAGGCCTGCAGCGCCGATTCGTAGGAAGATCTTGGCTCCTGTGCCGACAGTTTGAAAGTGAAAGCCGTCAGAGCCGAGGCTTGTGCTGAAAGCTACGAGCATCATCTTCTGCACCGCGACCTTCAAGTACACCAAGGGCTTGATCGCCAGGGCATTGCGGAGCTGCCTCCATCTATTAAATGAAACAATAGCCCTGCTCAGTCTTTGCGTGGCTTTAGCCGAGGGGCTCTGCTGTCAGCTGCAGGGGGCCTTGCCTGAGCCAGCTTAGCCTCAGCACAAGACAGCAGTCTGCTGCCTAGCGGAGACTCCAACTGTGAGTTGTGAGGGGCACGTGCCACGGCCTTTGTGTTCGACAAAGACGAAAGGCCAACAGGCCTAAGAACACTGCTAGATTCCGAAAGGATTGCGAGCCCATCTGCGTAAGATTGGCTATCTGGACCGACGGATGCAGCATGTTTCGGTCCGACTGCAACTCAGCTTGTGAAGTTCTATTGAGATTTAATTTCTTTGTTTCGAGTACCACTGAGGGCAAGCTTTGTCTGGCGCTGACAAGCCCTGCATCCTGAAAAGCTCTCTCTGAGGTGTTTGAAATAGGAATCTCGGGTGGGGCATCCGGCTAGCCGTCGCCGCTGTCGATGGATCCGCCGTTTACAGCAACCCTGGCCTTCCTCCACTTGACCTCGAAGCATTTCGTTCGAAGCCTCTGAGACACCAGCGCTTCGAAGATCTGTTGTGGAGCCTCGGCACATGCGAACCGACGGAGATGTTCTGAGAAGAAAGCACGTAGGCTCTGGCCGGAGGGAGCTTCGGCTTCAGGTAGCTAGGCCTCGAGAAGAACAAAACAAAACAAAGCAAGCCAAAGCAAAAGCAGTCCCTGCGCCACTCCGTCCCCTGTTGAGCCCTCTCGCCGGCCTGTTGAGCTCGTACCACCCGGTCCAACCGAAGGCCTCACCAACACACCCATGAACTCCTCCACTGCAGTTGGTTTGTTCCGTTCTCAGCACTCTCTTTTAAGGCAATGGAGGGCTTGCACTCAGCACAGCGAAGCCTTGGCAAGGATCAGTTCGGCATCCTCCTGGCCTTGGCTGTGTACAGGCTGTCAAGGTGCCTTCCATATCGTAAAACACGAGGGGCCCCACCGTTCCGCAAGACACTTCTTCCCACTTCGGATGCACGGAGTTCAATCCCACTCGAACTGCCATTAAGCTGGACTGCTCGCATCCAGGTTTTGCGCTAGCGCGCTCGCACCAGCCTGTCTGAAAAGTGGCTTGATGGCACGCCTTCAAGAAATCGACTGATTGGACCGCGAGCCTGCCAAATCTCTTCACCGCCGCGTTCGGCAACACCTCTTCCAAAAACGCACGAAGCGGTGAGAACGATGGATGGGGAAGTCATGGCAAAGAGTCGAATGCTACACGCCTTTAGCCTTCAAACGGCGCCTTCGCGAACGGCAGCCAACAAGGCTGCTTTGTCTACCGACCTTCTCTGGACGGTTACAGACAAACTGCTTCGGGTGGACAGCTGAGTTGTCAGTGCAAACGACACCCTAGAGGCCTAGCTGGTGCGAGAGTAGGACTGGTGTCAAGATGCTGGGCTTGGTCGAATCCCAGCGCAGACTGCTACACTGACAAAGGCAGCGGCCCAGCGCCGTAGGAGACTGCCGCCAGTCCCAAGACTGGCCCAGGAAGGGTGCATCAAAACAAATCTCTTGCACTCGCATTATGGGGCGCAGGCACCACAAGTGAAAAAAAAATCAACAAGGCCAGAGCAGTTCTCGGACATGAACAATGAACACAAGCCGCTTGTACAATTAAACCATTGAACCTGGTTAGCTGCATCGGGACTGGACATGTCGATCAAGAATCGGCTAAGCAGCTCATGAGCATGTGTGAAGTCAACGAGTCTCGTTACACACACTTGTCTTTGAGTGCATTCGTATGCTTGCGATGGGGACAATGGTGGATGCTCTCTGAGCGAGGGGAAGTGCACCATGCCCATCATCCGGAGCCTGAAGGGCCCCATCCGACGTCGAAAGTGGCCACCCAGGCGATATGCTATTGTGAAGCACTCTTGAGCCTCCCCAGACCACGCCAGGAGTCCGAAATGCATCACGAGTTTAGGGGGCGGAAACAGGAGTCGAACAAAAAATGTGCACGGCGCTGCGGGAGCACGATTTCACGAGGCGGAAACGCATGGGACTGGTGCTTGCATGTGCTTGCCAAAGTCTGTTGAGTGGCAGCAGGGTAAGCACAGGCAGCATTTACCGCCCAATGGATCGAAGCAGTGTTTCATTTGCGCTCTCCGGGCACGCCCTGCCTGGTGCGCGCATCTCTCAGGGAATCATTTGCGATCATCATGGAGATGCAGTAACAGCAGCAGTAGCAGTATCTTCATCAGCATGATCACCATCGGGCATGATCACCGAAGCCCAGCACCCAAAAAGCCCACCCTAAACCCGAAAGCTTTAACCCCTCGGTCGATCGCAGGCGCCTGTTCCTACTCACATGCGTGCGCTGCACAACAAAGCGCGAGCCCCGTAAACTCCTCCGCCTTTGACGAAGCAGCCGGCAACCATCATTTCGGAAAGCTTGTGCGCTCCTCCCCGGGCTCCGGCCCGGATTCCTTCCTTCGTCAGCGTCCTCATCCTCATCCTCTTCGAGGGCAAGTGCTGCTGCTGGACATGCTCGCCCCTGGACACACCACGCAGACTCAGGGAGTCTTGTTCTGGTCATTTTTGTCGCTTTGACGTTGATTCATACTTGGGGGTGAACAAGAGGAAGAGGCTGATGTCGGATGAAAAACTCAGTGACTTGAGCTGCGTTGTCTAGTTTGCATCCGTCCGCGGACTCATGGTTTTGAAAGGCAGTTGGAAAGATCAAGTTGTCGATCGGCCGCAGTTGGGAGGGGGTTTCTCTTAGCTTCCGTGATGCAGCTAACTGCGCAGAAGTGCTTCGCAGAAACCCACACCAAACTGCTGCATCCTTGCCACTCACCTCGTAGGCGTTGGATGTCGGAGGTTGGCCTACCAAGTGAAGCAGTAACTCTTGGAGCCCGCAGCACTATCAAGGTCCGCACCTGTCTCCCGCAAACACGAAACCACAAAGCGGATGCCTTGGCAAGCGCTGCAAAGACTGCTTCTGCTCAACCAGGGGCAGTGGCCGTGCAGCACAGGCAGGAGTCAAGTGGAGCACGCAACTGATGTTTTTTCTAGGACACCGGCCAAGCAAGCAAAGTAGCAATCACCACTGCCACTACCGCGATCACCATCAACACGACCTCATCTCCGCAATCTTCAAAACACGGTGTCCGAACAAAAACGTGCATGAGTGTCTCTGCGGCACAGCAGTCATTGTGCGATAGCTTTTCCGACGGCTACAAGAAGGCAGTCCACACAAGAGCGCGCTGGCTCTGCCCAAGATGACCAGCTGTCAACTTGCTCAAAAGATGGGTATGAATATTATGATGAATGAAAAATAGATACTTGGAAGGGCCTAGCCCTCCAACCTGTCCTTACACAGGTCCTGGATCCCTGCCGCAACCGCTTCAGTCGCGCCGGCATCTTGAAACACATACCTGATCAAGGCAGGCCCAGAAGTCAGAGCACACACCACGGATCTTGTGGGGAAGCAATTCTGATCACTCTTGCTACTGCCCCGGCTACTGACATTTTTCGTGGTACTGCTCTCTACACACCCCCTCTTCTTAAGAGTCTGGCTCTTGCTCTATTTCTGATCTGCTTGTTTCATCACATGACGTTTCTTATTGCTATTGCTATTCAGATGACAACTTCCATAGCTGTTGCTGCTGCTCTGCTGCTGCTCCGCTCTGCTGCTGCTGCTCTGCTGCTGCTGTTGCTGCTGTTGCTGCTGTGGCTGCACCACGAATGATCATGAACGCGACCACGACAACAACGACCCACAGCATGCCGAGCTGCCAATCGCTCTCCAGCACTTGGAGCTTGGAGAGTTTGGGACAGGCAGTGAGGTCCATCCAAGGTTCTGCCGCGTCGGCGCCAATGATGGTCTTCATCTTGTCATGCCCTTCCTGCAAAGACAAACATATCAACAACAACCACGAAAGCCAGCGGTACGCTGAATACGCTACTGCCAGCAAATGCTTCGAAACAATCGGAATGAAACCGCCATCATCAACAGCACCATCACCCCGATCCTCGTCCTTCTGGCGGTTCGCCGCATAGTGATTGCTAGCACTGGTGACTATAGCAAGCTGAGACAACAGAACCCAACAAAAGACCTACAATGCAATGGAACAGAAAGAGACAATGGTACAACGGAGATGTAGTGACAATCTGACTCTACCACAACTACTGATACAGCAGCAGCAGCAGCTGCTGCTGACGCGCCCAGCATTGAAATTTTCGCAGCCAAATACATGGGCAAATACAGTACATTCTCCACGCGACGTCTTCCATCCACGCATACATGCCTCGGAACAGTGTTGCTTGTAGGTCCTCCCCTCGACGCTGCGCGCCGTCTAAACAGAAGGTTTCATGTGAAAACGATATGTGTACCGTGCTTTTTTTACGGGTGTGGTTGTTGCCTATTGGTTGTTGTGGTCCGAGCTTGTTGTGCTGCTGCTTCTTGGCTGTTGGTTGCTGGATGTTGGTTGTGCAGATGCTTTGTGTTTGTTCCGGCTTCTTGCTCCAATGTGCTGTGAAACATCACGAAAGACAACGTTAAAGATACAGCGATACACAAAGTGCAATACTTAAGCACGTTCTATGTCGAACACGCTGTGCTCACACCTTCCACGAGCCACTGGCCCAGCTTACTATAAGGAACAGAGGACGAAGAAGAAGCCCTCTGTCTCAGAAATCCTGGGAGGTAAGGTTGACCCAGAGGTCCTTGTTGCCATAGAAGACGAGAAGAGGACACTTCAGTGGCCCGGCAGAGACGTCAAACCTGTAGTTCTCCTCTAGCTTGCAGTCCGCCGTGATGACCGGCACGAACATTTTCTTCATGCCCGGGTCTTGCAAAATGAACTCCGTCCCGCCCTTGTCCTTGAGCATCTGCTCAAACCTTGGCTGTTGCCAGCGCTCCTGTGGGCCCTCCAAAAAACCTTCCCCACGAACTGGGGATGGAACCGGGCTTCGCCGAGGCCCGCTAAGCCCAGAGATGCACGGCCAGGCCACTGCGGAGCCTTGCGCGGAAACAATACAGAGGGAAAAAACAGCTGCCGTCACTATATCTCCCGTTCAGAGGCTCTCGAAAGACGCTTTAACCAAGGCCACGCCTCTGCACTGACCACCACCACAGCGAGAGGGCCCATGTCTTTTGCCTGCAATGACCTGCCCCCATCTCTGCGATGTCTGCAGTTTCTTGAATCCCAGGGCGACACAGGGGCCTTGCTACTTCCATGGCCAGGATGGAGCCAAAGGAGAAGCCCAGCAACACCTGAAATCCACCAGAGGCTCTCATGGCTTGGCATAAACCGGAAGCCTGGTGAAGACGAGATGCAAACGGGAGGCCGTCTTTCAGAGCGTCCTCAGAAAAAGAAAAAAAAAACAGCCTCTGCTCGAGTCTAGAGTCCAGAGCGATCCCTTCCCCGCTCTGTACATGCCCTTGTCCTGCAAGGCAACCACGATGTCTGTCACGTATTTTGCCGGGTCCTGCAGTCTGCACTCCACCCTGCACACATTTTCTGGGCGGGTCTTGGAGCTGGCAGACATCTGCACATGGAACAGTTGCACCTCGTAAAGGGGGTCTTTCACCCGGGTGCCACGGCCAGGATAATTCACCTGCAGGAAGTAAGGCAATGGCCAGTGAGCAAAACCAGCGTGAGTAAGGATGGCCTCGTACTGCTGAAAGCTCTTCAGATGCTCCGTCCAAGCAGGCGAGGCGGGCTTCATGAAGTTGTGGGCAGAACCCTGTCCACCCCGATTGCCTGTCCAGGAAAAGATGACCAGACGCCTGCAACCAGCGAAAGCGGCAACAGTTCAAGTAATCCTCGGAAGGCATGTCACAAGCTTGACGAGTCGACGAGGCGCCCTTTGGCATCCGGATTCGTCTTCCCAAGCATCTTCAACCAAGGCGTTTTGCCCGTGGGAGATGCGCCCTGACAGATGCGGACACCAAAAAAAGAGGTGACTGGCGCCTGAGTTCCCACAACAGCCAAGTGCAGCCTTTTTCATTGACAGGTAGCTCTCGTCCAGCACCTCAAATTCTGGCATCTTGACGGCCTCACCAACTCTGTTGCAAGCTTCTCCAGGGTGCAACGGCGTAAAGAGCCCCCAAGGCAAGGGAAGAAGAGAAGCATATGGAAGCATCCGGTGCGACTTGACAACTTGGAGAGGCTGCCTCAGCCGGCGCGGCTGCCCGTCGAACCACCAGCTCTTTCCCACTGATTTTCGTGCTGACCTCAGCTGCGCGTCCACATCTCGGGGGGCAGAACACCATCCTGATTCGCCACTGCTTGCAGCAAATTGTTAGTAGCTTCTGAAAGTCTTCGCATTCTCAGGGGACCTAGCGGCACACTGGAATCACCGAAACCCGATTTCGGGCATTAGCCTGCTTCTCTTCGGCAAGCTGCCCAACCGGACTTGGGACCAGTGCCGGTCAGGAGCTCGTAGCCTCGCGTGTCATCACATGACCGCAGAATGTTCAGTTACAGACCCTCGCAAACAGCATGGGTAGACCGTCAGTTCTCATAGACTTGTCGGGTGTGGAGGGCAGTAGTTACTCAGTAGACTTCGCAGGGCGCGGTCAGCAACAGACACAGCTCTTCAGGAGAGCGACCTTCACAACGTAGCCCCTTCCTCCTGCCTTTGACATCTGCGCTACTTCGTGTTTTGACTGTGCCAAGCAATGCAAGGCTTAGAGCTCTGGGAAGAAGCTGAAGCAAGTGCCCCGAAATGCAGCAAGCCGCGAAGTCTGTCCCCGACAAGCTGGAGCTCCTTGAGAGAAGCCCCTGTGGCAAGTCGATCATCACAAGCCTGCAACTCTGCATTGCATTGCTCGACAGACAAATGCAGAGGAAGTGTGAACAGGGCAGCTCTCACTCGGGAGAAGACCCATGCCTTGGAAGAAAGCGCCTGCCCTTCCCGGACGAGAATGCCACCTGCCCGCACCAGTGAAACTCACGGTGTCGAACAAGCCGAACAAGCATAACCCAGCAACCCATCGCCCAAGCGCCACATGAATTCAGAGTCACCTTTCGTCCTGCATCAAAATCCGAGTTTCACCGGCATGGACCCTACCAGCCTTTATCTGCACCACCGATGACTTCCCACTCCATTGATGGCTTTCGAATGGAGCGTGCAGAAAGGTGGACTACTGCAAATCGTCGCTAGATCGCAGCTCACTGTCGTAAAGTGGGCCCCTTGGGAGGCTATAACTGCTCAAGGGTGCCGCATGTGCGAGAAGTCCAATCATGCAAGCGAGCCAAAGTGAGCTACAACACCACACAACACCACTGGGCGGAAGTCGGAAGCTGCGAGCTGCGGGTTCCGATGCTTGCTACAGCAAAAGGTTTCTAGGGCCCTCGCTTTTCGCTGCCGCATTCTCAGCATGCTCAATCGTGCCATTGCTGCAAACAGCTTCGGTGCTTATCACAAAGATGGAGATCGCCTGCTCTGCGTTCAACTGATCGTTTTGGTGTTGATCCAGCGGCGGGCTAAAACCAATCGAAATGCCAGGCTTCGTCATGTTCAAGGTGCACTAAACAAAAAACAACGAGGCGGTGCACAAGTCGAGAACGCCAGCAGTTGGGAGAAGGCGCATGACAAACAAACGGCAGAGATTCATCAAGTATCAAATCTGGTGGCCTGCGGATAGCTCAACAGCGTGCCGATGCGCAGCAGCCCCTGTCGAGAACTCCCGGCAGCAGCCACGAACATGATAAGAAACATGCCTGAAGAAAAAGACCTGAGAATTGGATTGAACGGCGTACTCTGCAACCAACGAAGCAACTTGGCGTGGTGCCTGCCTGCACCATAATGTCCATGGAAGCATTGACCATATCCAGACCGAGAATGCACGCCTGGAGTCAAAAAAGCTTTCAAAACAGTTGCAGCTGGGCCTCCAACAGCCTGAGGTTGAGCTGAGGTGCTTCTGTCTTGCACACTCTCGTTTATCAATGTTTATCAAAACCATGTCCGAACAAGTCTAAGTGTTTCTGAGATCTGCCGTTGAACTCATCCTCTTTTTCAGTAAACCCACACCGGTGAGGCGCAGCTTCGAGGAAGGCAAGACCGCGAGCGGAGCAAGCGACTGTGAGTCATCACGACAGTCTGGACTTGTAATCTCGAAGCTACGTGGGGGTACTTAGGGGGCTTTTCTGGGGTTTAAGGAACAGCAACCCACTATTCCCTAAACCCTCAACCCTAACCCGTAAACCCTAAACCTTGTGGCAGAGACTGTAGAGGAAGATGCAGTTTCCGGGTCTCTTGGTATGTAGGGGATTTAAACTTCAGGGCCCCAGAGGTGCTTCATGGCCTCGATGGTAATCATGATGGTGACAGTGCTCATGACAACTATGATGGCGTCGCGAAATCCGACTGTCAAAATTTGTCTGTGCTCTGGTGCATCTCAGAAATCGACGGGTCTGCAACATGCTTGTGATGCAAGTACTACAGAGCACGACAAGAGCGACAACTGCAACGCTTAGCTGCTCGCACCTAGCGCTAGCGCCTGCTACGCTCATCTTTGAGAGTGCATCTACCACCTTTGCTGGAAAGCTAGTTGCTCACAAAACACCACGAAGCACGGGCACTAACGACTCCCAATGACTCCCGGTTGCCTGCATCTCTCTGGCCCAAACCTCAGGGTTTGTGCCGACCTGCAGCCGGACTCGCGTTCAATTCAGACTTGCAACCCAAGTCCCGACTAACATTCGGTCGCCTCCGGGTTCTCGACTGGATACATTATGGCCAAGAATTGCGACCTTGACTCTGGAAAATTCAGTAAATGCAGTGGCACAGGGAATCAACCGAATTGCAAACCGAATCGGGTCTTATTTTCTGTACAAAAAAGGCGACTAGCGGCTGTTGAAACATTGCAGTGATGGTTCATGTTTCGGATTCAGATCTTTCCCGCTAGCTGTCGTGGGTGAGTTGTACCCGGTTTTGCGGACCCCTGGAACATTCGATGGAATAAGCACTTTCAGCGAGTTTCAGATGCATCCAGCTGCCTGGCTTTTGAATCTGAAGCATTCACACGAGTGCCTCCTCGCTTGTGTTTGGAAACTGCTGCCTTCGGGACGGTTTGCCTGGAATAGCACCCACATGCGTAACTTCATGTTGGCTCGCTGTCCCTAGAACCGTCCTGAACATCGACATTGACTCTGCAAACCAGCTGGAGACAACGGAAGCGCTGGGTCATGTCACACGCACGTAGGGCAGGAAGGAGAGTCAGGAGGGAGTGGCAGAGCCTATGGATTTCTGGCCTTGGGGCCTATTAAGATTGACACCTTGCCACATCAAAGCACCGCAGGGGATGTCCGTCTTCACTACGTGTGCGAGGTGTCCAGGGCTCAGGGAAGTTGATGTGGAAGGTTATACAAAACACGTAAACATTTGCTCATGCTATGTGCGGGCAAGCAAAAACGGTCATACGGACATGCATATGTTCATACATGTATCTGAATAAACAAACAAATAAATATGTGTATATAATATAATATATAATATATAATATAATATAATATATAATATATAAGAAATAATATATATATATAATATATAATATATAATATATAATATAATATATAATATAATATATAATATAATATATAATATAATATATAATATAATATATAATATTTAATATAATATATAATATATAACATTATCTAGAATATACATATATAATATATAATATAAAATAAAATAGTATACTTATATTCCGCTATAAACCCACACAGCTCTAAAGACCCTTCAAGGATACCCTGTATAATAGCCATATTATGCTTTGTGAGCAGATCCTTTCCCGGCCTTTGCATCTCGAAGCAGGGCTTGCTGCTTTGTGAGAACCTGATGTTTGGCAATTGCGACTGCACTTAAGAAGGGTTGCTTTAGCATAGGCGGGTTTAGGGTTTAGGGTTTAGGCAAGCCTGGCCTCGATCTGTCGTTGGATTTCGGCTTCGTCGGCAGGCTCTTCGGACTTCACGACACCATGATTCGAAACTGCTAGGAGTATTTGGGCACCTCTAGCCAGGCTTTCCCGGGACTGCCCCACCGTGCTACTAGACTTACCCTGCTCCATTGCTTCGGGCCGCAGGATCCTGCAGGCATGAGTGATTTCAGGCCTGCTGTGCCATGTGTTGCAAGCACGAAAACTGCTCCAAGTAGGCTGGACGCCAATTTCCGCAATCTTCCCGCCAGTTTCCGCAATTGTCCCGCCAGTTTCCGCTATCGCCCCGGGCCCGCAAAATCGCACCAGGACCTGTTCTGTGGTCAAAACCTCGGCAAAAGCCCGCAAAACCTATATATTAACACACCCTGCACACCGAGTCGGGAAGCCTTGACAGGCTCTCAAAAACCCAGCCGAGCCTAGCCAGCAAAGCCCCATCTAGGCCTAAAGTTAGTCCTCTAAGCCCTGGTGCGGTTCGAGAAAAGGCAGGTCCCGAGGAAAGCGGTACCTATCGATCAAATGTTTGAAACTTGATGGAAGGCACACACCCTTTGCTACCCTCAAGTACAGGACTACCTCGTGCAAATTCGTCTCCTCCCAGTCTGTCTCATCCCAGGAATACATTGCGAAGAGCTGGTGCAAAGGCTGGTCCCACCTCATGTCCGAGTCGGGGACCTGCGGCAGCTGGGCAGTCTGATGGTTCTGATCGAAGGATAGAGTGTGCAGAATTTAGGATCGGGGCTGTGTGTGCATGGGAGTTGGACTACTGGCTTCGTCGGGGCTGTGTATGACTTAAGTTAAGTGGCCTGCACTGATAACCCTTGTAGAGCACGGGTTGGGTCAATCATCTCGATGATCTTTCGGGCAAAGCCAGGCGGATAGGTCCTG